CGTCAGTCTGTTCAAACCACGGTGTCGCCCCCCCCCCCAGGTCGTCTACGTCTCAGCATTGTCTACAGGGAGCAGAAATTAAATACCGCAGCAAACAAGCGACCGTGTTAACGGGGGGAGGTAGTAGTGGTGGCTACGTGGATGACTGCAGGATTGTTCCTTTACTACAACATGCTGGGAAGAAGGAAAAAAAAATCAAAAGTGAGAAGGGCTAATGCTAACGTTAGAAGAGGTAATGTCAACATTTCAGAAGTTGTCATGTTAACAATAGAACGCGTTATGTCGACACAGAAGTGGTAATGTCCGAACACTAAAAGATGTGATGTTAACATTAGAAGAAGTTATTGCAACGCATTACAATAGCTAATGTTAACACAATAGAAGAGGTAATGTGAACACTTTAGAAAAGATAATGTTAACATCTTAGAAGAGGTAATGTGAACTCTTTAGAGGAGTAAATATCAACACATTGGAACAGGTTATGTCATCACATTAGAAAAGGTATTGTGAACGCCTTAGAAGATGTGATGTGAACTCTTCAGAAGCCATAATGTCACACATTATAATTGGTAATGTCATCACATTAGAGGAGATAATGTTAACACTTTTGACAAATACATATAAAACAATGTACATTTGGACAAATACATATAAATCAATGTAGAATTGGACAAATACATATAAAGCATTGTAAAATTAGAAAAATACATATAAAACAATGTAGCCTACAATTGAACAAATACACATAGAACAGTGAACAATTGGACAAATACATAGAAACGATGGAAAATTGGGCAAATACAAATAAAACAATGGAAAATTAGTCAAATACATTTACAACAATGTACAATTGTACAAATGCATATACAACTGTGTACAATTGGACAAATACATATAAAACTGTGTACAATTGGACAAATACATATAAAGCAGTGTACAATTGGACAAATAGATATAAAACAATGTAAAATTGGACAAATACATATATAACAGTATACAATTGGACAAATACAAATAGAACAATGGAAAATAGGTCAAATACATTTACCAAATGTAGAATTGGACAAATACATATAAAACAATGTAGAATTGGACAAATATATAAACATGAATTGACAGGTACAAGGACAGTGATGAAAGACACAAGAGACTTTGGCAAGTTCATGTGACATCAGTCTTTATTGACCATCTTTCAATACTTCATGTATAAACATCACTCACAACACACAGCGTTTCCATAACTGATCAAGATGTACAGTAACGTTGACTCTACTCAAATCAAAAAAAAACAAACTATTACATTCACAATCACAATCAACAATCCTTGAGCAAACCACACACTTGGCTTTACCAGAAGTTTTCAAGATTGAACAGGTGGCTAACACTCTATACCGCTCACAGTAATATGATAATATGATGATAGCTGTTGTGTACCAACAATGTCTACCAGCTTTACAACACAGGCTACAACACCACCCCTACTCTATCATGGGCTCACAACAGCTAAGTTCTTGAACAATTCTGAAAAGGAGTCCTCTCCAAGTGATACTTTTAATGTAATCAAATGATTAGGTCTCTGGTTAGGCGAATACGGTGCATAGCTTGTCTGCTCTCGTCCATTGTTAGATGGATATCATCCATTTTTAAAGTAAAAACCAATATAGTCCATTATTTGATAGATATGGTCAATGATCAGACGACTCAATCCATTTCCCTACCTGTAATTGCAAACAGCCATCTCGGGTTGCGCATCATGCAACAATGTCAAGCATAGATGCTATTTGGTGGTTGTTAGATTGTGTCCATTTATGGCCATGTTCAACTCTACTGGATGTAGCCATAAACAGTTGTTGGCTTAAACAGGGCTTCAGTGAAGCTAACCCTTGTCATGCTTTCACCAAACCAACACTATAACTATAAGCCATCAAAGTTATCTTTGGTATAGCCATGTGACAAGTTTCTATGAACTAGCTGGGATACAAGGACACACTAGACCAGACATAAGAAACATGCTGACCTCTATAACTAGCTGGGATACATGTATAAGCAACAGGACCTCAATGTTGAAATTATTTAAATACTATAAAATATAAACGAAAACAAATTATGGCCCTCTCGACCGAGTTGTTACAAAATGAGAGGAAAGTTTACAATTGTAATGGACTCAAATTGAAATTATTTCAAGTTTCAAGTTCACAATTTTAATGGGGTAAAATAGAAATTATCTCAAGTTAACAATTTTAATGGGCTAAAATGGAAATTATTTCAACTTGGACTTCAAGTTAACAATTTGAATTGGCTTAAATTGAAATTATTTAAAGTTAAAAATTTAAATAGGCTAAATTTGAAATTATTTAAAGTTAACAATTTTAATGGGCTAAAATTATTTCATGCCAAAGGTCTTATCATTCTTTCTTTATGTTCATTAATTAGTAATCTAATACCATCTTTCCATGTACAATAAAATCAACCAACTGTGTGGATCCCTAACTTTTGTTTTAAAAAAATCCCTGACATGCCCTGTCTGTGTTCATCTTGTTCCATAACGTTATTAATAATACATAGTCAATCAATAGAAAAAGATACAGTATTAATTGGCGTATAACACGCCCCCGCGTATAACACACACCTCAATTTCAGAAGGAAATTGCAGGGAAAAATTATATCGGCGTATAACACGCACACATGATTTGCCCCTTATTTTCGGGGAGAAAAAGTGCATGTTATACGCCAATAAATACAGTATCTATTTTAATTAAAAATGTGAAAATCCTTTAAATTATTATATTTAATATTAAATGTGGGAATACGAACACAACTAAGCTAATACCCTGTCAAGGGGGGGTGGGGGGGAAGGGTGATACTTACATCACTTTCTCTAGGCGCAGATACTATGTTCGCTCGGTTTGTTAAGAAGATTTGGTGGCATAGGTATTAGCATATATAATTTAACTAAAAATTGCTTACATGGTTGAAAATTCAAACCCCAATTTTTGAGTAACATTTTTTTTTACCCCAAATTTCTGCCAATTAAATGCCGTAAAATACAGTAATATAAGGCTACAACTAGCAAAACATATGTCAATAATTTATTTCAATCTAGCCACACTAGAGTATGACTAAATTTACAAAAAAAGAAAAGAAAGAATAACACTTGTAAGTTGACTATATAATATCAATGAAGTTAAGGAATAAGACATGTGATTGCATGTTCACCTCACAGACAAGGATATTGATGACAGCATGACTGACATGACTTTCCAAAAGCCAAATGTGGGGAGGGAGGGGGGGGGAGATGAAACGCTATATTACAATGAAAGCCATTATCTGTCACTGATCAACTGAGCACTACCGCTACAATGGATGCAATGGAAAGTCAAAGTAGAGGCATAAAAACATTTTAAAAAACATTTATTGGTTATGACCCTGAAATTTAAAAAAAATAAGAACAGGTCAGTTTTGTAAAACAACAATGATTAAAAAAGGGAAACAAGCAGTTGGCATGGTTAATGTTAAAATTAGTCTCCCCTTTCTTGAATTTGTATTGAAACACAAACTATTTTGCTAAAATTATAGACAAAGAGAGAAAAAATGACTATAAGTTGGGTTATGGCACAATGTCAGCATAATCACAGATTGAAGTGTATCAAAAATGCAAAATTATTGGGGATGGAAATAATTTTAAAAAAATTTAATTTAAAAAAAAAATATCTATAAAAAAAATTTAAAAAATAATAACTTATCATTGAGAAATGATTGTTATATTTTATGATCAGCTGTTCTTTTAACAGCTTAGTTGACTGTTATTGATAAAACTTGGGTTGGGGAAAGGGGGGGGGGTGTTATTAAGAGCTATGGATTTGATGTCTTTGAAAACTCTGATTACAGCTATTCTGATTATATTTGTCAGAGAACAATGTGATTCTGTTGCTGGTCTCCGGTGGGGAAACCATTATGATTGCTTGGTCAACAAAGCTCAACACTGTTTAAAAAAAGAAAGATCTTTCCAGGGCTAAATTAGTTTTTTTTCATATCTGTGGCTAAATGAATTTTTTGTCATATCTATGGTTAAATAGATTTGTCATATCTGTGGCTAAATGAGTTTTTTGTCATTTATGTGTCTATAAATGGGTTTTGTCATATCTGTGACTAAATGAGTTTTTGTCATATCTGTAGCTAAATGAGTTTTTTGTCATATCTGTGGCTAAATGAGTTTTGTCATATCTGTGACTAAATGAGTTTTTATCATTGTGGTAAAAATCAAACTTTCACTGCTCACATTAAGCACAATTTGTAGCTATCATAAAATAATACAATTGTAAGCAAATTAGAGAGATTTGTATAAATAAATTAAATATATATATAGATATATCTATATAAACTTAAAATGCAATGTAACTATCCATCAATTGGAAAAAGTGTTATTAAAGAGAGTCTTAAATATTCTAGTATTTAAAAATGTCATCATGTGTATACAAATATGTTCAAGACATATATATCAAGATACAATTACTTTAAATCAACAAGAATTGATGATACTATCCTAAAAAAACTTGATTTTAAAATTCAAATATTTGTTTCTATTCCAGTAAGCATTTTCATGTCAGTGCTCATGTAGAGCAATACTAGAGAGCAGTGGGTCCAAGACCTGTGACACTTCAAGTGATTGGATGAATCCCTCATACTGTAAACAAAATGGGCACAAATTCTTTAAGAGAAGAGACTTTATGAATAGAAACATATCATTTGGAGCCCTTTAGGATTAACATGCCTCCTGGACAGGGACAAATATTGGACAACAACTGACTTCCACAAGTCCATCTGATACCTCATTAAAAATTTTTTTTAGATGATTCCAACATTGTCATTATTTAGAGATAGATGTCACTGAATTTATCGTAGTAATGGAACAAGTAATCATTTGAAAACAATAATTGATTTATAATTCCAAAAGAAATTTATATATAATCAAAAAAGATTTTTTAAGAAAAAAAAAAAAAGGAATTTATCAATAGTTGTTGCCAAGCAAAATAGTATGCCTAATTATGTGTGTATGTAAAATTATGTATGATGACATCCGACGTATGGCACTATATCAACATAGTTCTGTCCAACAGCCTGAATACTTATTTCTCCTACATGGAACTAGCCCAATTTACATGGTATTAAATCATTTGACTATGCATCTAAGCCATTATACACGAAACTGAAAACACCAAAAATGGACCTAACCTCTATTACATGGGGTTCATCCCTTTTACCCAGAAACAGAGCTCAACTCATCCAAGAAAATAATTTAAACGATAAAGATTTGGATAAAACTTTCAATATATTTAACAACCCTTTAACACAGAAATAGAGCATAACTCATCGAAGAAAACTCATTTAAAAGATAAAGAATTGGTTAAAGCTTACAATATATTAAATGACACCAATAGTGCGTAGATGCTTAAAGATTATTTTTTTCATGTACGTTCGGACACGGTAGATTTTGTAAAAAAAAATTCTCTCTGCATAGAATACGTCTGCTGTGACTGTACCAAACAGAAAAACACCCAACCCACCCAACAACATAATTCTGTTAGTGGGTATGGCATACATCAAAAGTACATATTAACAATTTTTAAAAAAAAAGAAAAAAAAAAAAAATTACAGCTGAAGTGAAAAAAAAAATGTTTTTTTTACACAAATTAAAGCTTCAAAACATTAACTAGTTCAATGACTGTTAAAAAATTATTCATAACACATCAAGAAAAAAAACAAAAAACGAGGGCTCAAATAAAAATGTGGGCATAATTTTAAATTATCATTGTACTTATTTCAAAAATGTAATAAGATGCAAACAGATTTTTTTTTAAAAAAGGATTTTTATTTATTACAAATTAAATAAAATGTCTTTGAGAGGGTTTGCTCTAAGGGCGGAGAGAGAAGATTTCTACGGTAACGCACTCATCAAAATGAAGGCTTTCAAGACAGTCTATTTATTAGCCAATAAAGACTGCTGCACAGTATTTATTTCATATAAACAAGTCCCAGGAGTTAAAGGATACCTAAGTTGAACAGAATCCCATGTGACGCACAAATTCAATAAATGCAGGTGATAGACCAAAGACGTTTGTTTATACAAAAAATATTGAATAGATGGCCAACCACCTCACACAGACTCCATCTAAGATGATCTTTGACGGATCAATTATTTAAGTACCTGATTATTAAAAATATATATATCACTGGGAAGTTTATTTTCTTTTTTACAGAAACAAATAATAGCAGATTAAATTTTTGAGGATGAGCAAAAGAATACAAATAAAAAAACGTATTAATACCTGTCCCGGCCAATATCTATCTTGGCCACCTGAGAAGACTACTACAATCACATGAGCCCTATAATGAATTATTACAGATGAGTCAGAGCAAAAATACAGGTGCAACAATGAGCGGGTCCATATTATTACATGTGGCAGGAGCTTGGTAATGTCACAAATGCAGATACAAGAAGAATGCCATCTTCAGGAAACACAGCTTCAGAACTCGGCATTGAATGGGTAAAACTGGTGATCAACAGCTCTGAAAATACAGTCGGAAACACAAAACACAAATTACACGTTGCGAAATGTGTTTTTATATTTCAGGATTTATTGTGCAGGAGGAACTAAAATATTAAGACTACATACAAAACATTCAGCTTATTTCTATTCCCACGCCAAGTTGACAGCATTCTTCCGACCTACAGAGCTGAGTTAGGCTGTTTTGGTGGTTTTTGCTGTGTTTCGCTAGTTACTATGAAATCTAACCTTATGCAGCTAACTGATCCATCCACCCTGGTCACTTTACTCATAACTGAGGGGATGACCCTGGAAATTTTAATTTAGGTCAAGGTGCTCACTAGGTTACCAGTGCCCCCCAGAAATTACAAATTAAAATAAATAACAAATGAAATGAGTTCATGTGACCTGAATGTTTTATTTTTTCTAGGTTCTTCTATCAGAGGGGCGAGGGGTGTCATGGGGTTCGGCAGTTAGATACTAGAGACCCAAGAATGAGTCCATAATGACAATCTCTCTAAGATCAGCAACAAACGGCTCACTGCATCACCCTACAAGCCCCAAAATATCATGTGACATTTGGTAAAATTTGTAACGAGTCAGACGTATATGACAATCACTTTCTTTGAATTGATACAAGAATCAGACATATAAAAGACACTAACTTTCTTTAAAACAATAGTTCAACAAGGTGAATGATTAAAAAAAAAACTAAATGTGTTTCTCAAACGATGCCTATCTAAATGAAGCCCATGAATAATTAATTCATCAGGGTGTAGCTAGGGTGCCACCTAGCGTGGGGCATGCTTTTTGCCACCCCTTCCATGGAAAAAAAACTCTGCACTTGGCCAAATATGCTGCCCCTCGGTAGAAAAAAAGAAAAAAATGGCTGTCCTTCCACGCAACCCCCCCCCCCCCCGAGCACCTTCATACAACACTGGTTCAAGTCCCATTGTAAAGAAGGAGAATAAAAAAAGGAACAGAGCAATAAAAATGCAGTCCATAATAATAGACATCCTTGACATGACCATCATCAAACCGATAAGATAACTCACATTTTTTCATCATAGCCTCTGTAATTTTTATTTAACCTCGACAGCTTGGACACTTCTTCTCCACTTAGCTTGAAGTCAAACACCTGAAAGGTATCATAAAAATAAACAGATGATATTTGAGAATCCCTGATTGTGTGGTGTTGTTATAATGAACAGAGCTCTAGTCTTGAGCTGTTGCCAAACATAGATGTTTTGATTGGGTGGTGTTTCATGTTTTCATGTACGGTATTGAAAAGAAAGGTCCCTGTGCAGAATGTACTGCAATTTAATGCAATGTAGCACGGTGACATTAAGCCATGCAAACCAAAGGTAACATTAAGACATAGATTGATCAAGAAAGTTTTATAAGAGAAATTTGTCATGTACTAAAGAGTCTTCTTTCTTGGAATGATAGTGTTTGCTGTGCATTTGATAATCAATGCCAATCAGGCATAAATGATCTTGACCCCAGAATGTCCAACAACAATAACCTATTGGCCACAAGCAACACTCACTGGTCCATCTTAGTTTTAACAATTTACACTAACTCAGGAAACAGTTACAAATAAATAAAGTGCACCAAAAACAATGGGTAAGGTGTGCATCAGATCATTCAAAATGTGCATTTACATATTTAAATTAATAATGTATTTATTTGACACTGTGTGCTAATTATTAAACAGTCGTACAAAACTATGAAAGTCGCAATAGGCTTGCTCAAGAAATAGAAACGAAGGGGCGTGTCAGTGAAACAAAGCCCCAAGTTATATAAAAGTTATTTTTTAAAATTTCTCTGTCTAGTAGTATACAGATTTCCCACCTGTTTTGAGTCGTGACCCCATTTTATAAAAGCAAAATGACGCATGCCCTATTTTATAGAAACAACAATATATTTAATAAAGGAATTTCATAGGGTAAATGAAAACCCATTCGAAAACAAAATTTGTAGCATAAAATAATTCAATGTAGTTTTAATTAATAACAACCAGAGGTCAAGTATATCTTTTACATTTAGTACATCTAGTATATCACAAATTCTGCCAATCAGACTATAAGCCATATATCACAAATCCTGCCAATCAGACTATACTTTATGTATCACAAATTCTGCCAATCAGACTATACTTTATGTATCACAAATTCTGCCAATCAGACTATACTTTATGCATCACAAATTCTGCCAATCAGACTATACTTCATGCAGTTGCAATGAATACTGTAGAAAACAAAACTAAAAAAACTAGAGTGCAAATCTTACCTGGGTGTTTTCCTCAATACGTTTGGGTGTAACACTCTTTGGAACTGTAGCCAAGCCTTGCTGAATTAAAAACCTGATTGCCACCTAGGTTCGGCGTAATATAACAAATAATAAGTATGGCAATAAAATAGATACATATTAATGCCCTATAAAATGGTCATAGCCCCTCTCCCAGTCCCCATTTGACTGGTGGATCTACATTCCCGCTCTCACCAGTCCCCATTTGACTGGTGGATCTACAGTCTTTTTTTTTTAAAGCATTCGAAATAAAATAAATTAATGAAAAACTCTCCGTTACTAAGGTTACATTGTTGCGAAGGTTACATTGTTGCTAAGGTTGCATTGTTGCTAAGGTTGCATTGTTGCTAAGGTTGCATTGTTGCTAAGGTTAGATTGTTGCTATGGTTACCTCTAATGGAAGTCTTCAAATAGTTAGTGCATCCATTTAAATTTTACATCTGGTACTCAATCAAAGTGCATATCTCATGTTTCATGTAAATTACAAAACAGATTTCAATGAGCAATGAATGTAGAGTAGCTATTAGGATGGCATCTGTCATTTAAAAATGGCTGCATACCCAAGTATGTGTCATTGATCTAATTCTTCTCTTTGTGGCTATTGATACTTAGACAGCCACATTATAGCAAATTGTATTTATGAATCTTGAAATTAATTAAAACTGATGGGGAGAGGAGGGGAGGCAGGAGGAGGGGGGGGGGGTGGGGGGGCAGTGTCACAGCAGCTTTTCAGAAGCAAGTGTAAAGATATTCACAAAGTTTTACCTGTGCAGGTGTCTTGCCATGGTTAGCAGCAATCTCTTTAAGAACGGTCTCGTCCACAAGTTTGGTATGTTTAGGGCTGAGTGAGTTAATAGAAGGATTTATTTGATTAGTTATAAGAAGACCCATATAAAAGTAATAACACTAATATCCTGTTATACTAAGACCAACATAACATTACCATCCTGTTATACTTTACTAAAAGCAACATAACATTAAATTTCTGTTATAATAAAACCAACATATCATTACAATCCTGTTATAAGAAAAACATAACATGAACACGCTATTTATATGTATTAAATAAACAAACTTATTGTTCATTTTAACACTTTTCCCTTTCCACGTGTTTTAAATAATATATATCAAATTATTTTGTAGCAGTTTATAAATGGCTCTTCTTCCATTGCTTTGACATGGTTATTTCAAATGGATAAAATTGAAGAGAGAACAAATCAAAGTTTGGAGAAAATAAACCAGAAAATTTGATTAAAGTCAAAATCAAGAGACATTCGGCTAGCATATTCTTAAGTTAAACAATAACCTATATTAACTAGTGAACTTTTACTAAACAGTAAAGCTAGCCATCATCCCCAATCATTAAAAAATAATTAACCTGTGCTTAAATAATCAAAACAAATAGTTTTAACCCTGCTCATACATGAAGCCATTGAAAAAAGCTCACTGGAAACATAAACAATATATTTAAAAAGAGTATGGAAACATTACAGGTTATCAGATCTTAACCTGCCTATCGATGTATTCAGCCGTTTACATATTACATACTGAATTACCAAACTTTCTGGACCAGGGCAGTGAGTGTGAAAAGGGCTATGCACACTTGACATTTATTTTGTTTAAATGTAACGTGTGAATGTACGTATGAATGTAGGGCAGGACTTACTTTTTGCTCGGTGTACCTAGGGGGGCAAAGGCTATAACAGTTAGGCCTTTGGACTTGGCAAATTCAATCAGTTTGGAATTAGTGTTATGGCAGTTGACCTCCAGCTAAAAGATTGTTTTAAAAAAGTAAATGCATTATTATTTACGTTGTCTGCGTTTCCAGACACTGTAATCTAATTTTCTTTAAATGACTGTAAACACAGAACCACTCCAAGGTCCACATCCTAGCTCCACTCATCCCTAGTTTATCATTCAGACACAAAGTCTTGTTACATACAAACCTGAATAGCAACTGGTGGAATTCTGGCAGAATCTAAGACTCTTTGAATTTGATCACTGTTAAAATTACTCAAACCAATGTCCAGTGTTTTGCCCATATCTCTGCAATCTTCCAGGGCCTAATACAAGAAAATAAAAAGAATACATTTTAAATAAAAACCGACATTATCAGAAAAGACGGACAGGGGGTGGAGGGGAGGATAGATCTATATACTAAAATTATTTAAGTCATAGACTTGTTCTGCAGATCTATATACTGGAATTATTTAAGTAATAGAATTTTTCTGCAGATCTATATACTGGAAAACTTTAAGTAATAGAATTGTTTGGCAGATCTATAGACTGGAATTATTTAACTCTTTCGCTGCGGAATTTTTTCAAAGAGCGGAAAAAGAGTGAGAGGTTGGGTTTATTAAAAAATATTTAAAATATTATTGTTTGGTTTATAAACTTGGTAACAAATGAAAGATAATTGAAAGGACTAGATGTTTGTACACTTATTTCTTCACTTTAAATAAAATAAATAACAGAAAAGAACCATAAAATGTGAAAACATTTTATGCTAAACCATTTTTTCCCCAACGCTATGTTGTACGCATACCTCATCTTCACTTCTATAACTCAATTCCTCTAAAAATACTACTATCAAATACTACTATCAGAATCATGTGATGCATCTAAATATAAATCATCTTCACTATCAAAAGAAATAGTATAAAACAATTCCAAAGCTTTTAAACTGTTAATTGTCTTGGAATCTTACCTACTAGGGCCTAGAGTAGCCATAGCAACAGAAGAAAAAAAAAACGCGAAGAAAATTGTTAAAATAATGCTTCAAATGTCAACAAATAAACTTGGTTTCGCTTATAAACAATGAAGTTCCATGTAAAAGTATTATTTAAAAATAGCTCTTAAAAAGTTTAACCAAGAAAAAAAAGAAACAAACATGATATTGAAAAAACAAACATGATATTGAAACAACCGCACAGCGTGTTGGTCCATGCTTTTTAGAACGGCGGAAGAACGCAGTGTGCGTTGTTTAGCATCGAAAGAGTTAAGTAATAGAATTGTTCTGCAGATCTATATACTGAAATTATTTTAGTAATAGAATTGTTCTGCTCTTCTTTTAATATGGAAATAGGGGAGGAGACTGCAATCAGATTAGTTAAAAATGAAATGAGTGCATAAAGTATGGGAAAACCTGAAAAAAGTAACACAACTGTTGTCTGTTCAATGATGAAGGCTTCTTGCCGACATGTTCGTTGTTTTGTTGCGTTCATTTTTTCAGGTTTTCCCATACTTTGTTTCACTCATTTCATTTTTTCTTCTTTTAAAATTAATCAATCTAAATCTATATAAATTGAAAGACGGCATAAAATATGTTTGTCTCCAATTTCTATGTACATAAATGCATAATTATAACTTGTAACTAGCAGGTAAAAAGTTATAATAGATTTCAAATTTTGCTCAAATGTGCCTAAGGATTGCGCATTTCATTGCTGAGTGATCAAAATTGAAAATAAATTACACTTATTTAATTTGTGGGCACGTCAAGAAAATAAAATATCTTTTGTGTATCTAAGGTATGGTTTACTTCTTTCTACAGTCTATGCATATTTAATATGATTAGTAAACATTATTTGTAACATGATTAGTCAGATGGGTAATTCTCTTGTGTCAATATATGTTTATGGTGCATGGGACAATAATTAAAAATTGAAGACCTCAAGGGAAAAAACGGCAGAGTCCATTTTTAATTTTTTTGAGTTATCACCCCTGACTTATAGCCAGTTAAAAATAGAAGGTGCTGAATTAAGTTTAAAGGAGAAAAAAATGGCTAAGTCCATAAGAAAAATGGAAACGAAAAATCCGTTTACAATGGAAAAAGAAGCATAGTCCAATGTTTACAATGGAAAAGGGGGCTAAGTCACTAATATCACGTGACATTTGAGGTCACGTGATTTAAAGGTCCAATGAGAGATAGCTCTAGTGTAAACAAAATTTAAAGATGGCGACCGATTCGCTCAGCTGACCGACAAACCGGCGAAAAAGTTAACAGACAGACCTGAATTTTTTTAATTTCCTACCACAAGAAAACAAAATAAATTGGAATTAAAACATTAAAAAAAATAAAATTTGTATTTTAAATCGCATATTACCCTTGTTTTGTTATGTTCAGTTAATTAATGTGTGTATCCATCTCGTCTCTTTCGCTGTCGCTCTAGTCAAGTCTAGTCTATCACTGTTTGTTGCATGTCTGTGTCTCTCCTTGTCAGTCTATCTTAGTTAGTTTTTATATCTCTCTCCCTTTCGCTCTAACTCTGTGTCTGACTCCCCCTGAACTCTTTATCTTCAAGAGTCTGTCTTGCTATCTCTGTCTGTTACTCTTTACTGACTTTACTCTTAAACTTAAGTTCATACAGTTACAGCTACTGCTAGAGAAAAAAAAATAATATTGGGCCAAAATTGTAAAAAGCACATCAGAAACTCAGAAAGTATGATTTTAAATCTGATTTTCAGGTTAAATTCTAAATAATATATTTTTTTAATGATAGTTATAGGCATGATAGATATTCTTATATTAATAGTTTAAACATAAATAATTTGCCTAAGGCAGGGGTCATTCGTAAATTACATCATGTTAAAAATAAACTTTTTAGACACCCCCTCCCCTTGTCACGAAATGTCACAAATTCCCCCCCCCCCTGTCACATCACCTAAAAAAATTCAAAACATACATACAATTTTCATAACTAAACTAAGATATTATTTTATTCTTCAACATTTTCCCATAATGCAACAGTTCTAAACCTGTGGGTGGCGACCCCTTTATGGGTCGAATGACTCCTTTAAAGGTGTCACATAAGACAATCGGCAAATGCATATCCTCTACAGTTATGAAGTACTAACGAAAATAGTTTTATGGTTGAGGGTCGCCACAACATGAGGAACTGCATTCAAGGGTCGCGGCATTAAGAAGGTTGAGAACCACTGCCATAATGATAAGATGCAGTATTACTAGAAAACCGAGTTTCATGGTACCATACTATAATACCTGAGGCAAAAGTAATTTGCCAGTGACCCCTAAATGTGAAAATTTACTTATAAAATAGTTTTAAATAGATATTTATCAATGATCAAACCTTGATAAATTACTACAAGGGAAAAAACGGCAGAGTCCATTTTGACCCCACTCTCTACTATAATGAAATAAATCATGTTACATTCAAGTTTGAATTAATTCATCTATTTAATAACTCAGGGAAATGGACACTCTTGTGAAATGCATTTTAAAAATTACATTTTGTTTACACATTTTTAATGTGCATGGTTTTGAACTTTAAAAATCGAATATCTCAAAACAACAAAAATGTGACTCTGCCGTTTTTTCCCTTGTGGTCTTCAATTGTAAACAGAAATGTTGCTTTCCAATTGAGGAATTTTCATAATTAAAGTTTTTCATTTGAGTTGGCAATTTTAAAACATACCTGCCAAGTGTCGATAAAGTCAACATCAGAACTGATGGCTTTCCCATTTTCATCCAAGGGATTCAACTCCCCTCCCTCCTGAAGAAACAGTATTAATGCAAATATATGGATCATCCGTAGTATATGTAAGATAAATATCTCAATAGTACATGTAGGATTAATATCTCAATCTATTTTGTGACTCTGTTTACAAGTTTCATTATCTAGGCTTGCTAATTATACTTCTCAAGAACTCAGAGACCAAAGCTGAGCATCTAGCACTTGCAATTTAGCAATGGAACAAATATAAAAAAGATTTAAAGTAACTTTCTCACAAGAATAGTGGCACATTTCAAGAGTGATGTATGGTAGTTAGGTTGCTAGGCCCCCTGACTGAGGATACAGCTAACACAGTACATAGAGTGGCGGGCTGGTGCATGTGGAGGACACTGAACAGCCCATAAGGCAGGAGTTGGTCAGTTCTGTCTCTTAATACTGGTAACTAACTGACTTTTAGATTTTATAAACCCTGGTCATTCAAAAAGAAATATAATACAGTACACTTGACCTCACTGTCAAAATTTCCGTTTAATCAAGAATGAGAAGTCAGGTCACTCAAATTACACGAGGTCTATTAAATAATCTTTTCTGTAAAGCAAGTGAACAACAGACCCTTTTCACATATATAATTGTCCCATTAGGTTTGGGCCTTTAAATTTTAATATTATTGACAAAATGTCAAATGTTTGTTTATTTTTCATTCTATTACAAAGCCCAGAGTTCAATTAAAAAAAAACAACAACTAACTTTGTACGCCATTGGCCAATGTATGAGATAGAGATCAACATATTCTAAGCCGAGGTCATCTAGTGTCTTTTTCAGGCTCGGAAGAACCAAATCTGGTTTATGACAAGTGTTCCACAGCTAGAAAATAAAAACAAACACAAAAAAAGTGAGCGATCTGTCTGGAAAATGTTGTACAAATCTGAAATAAAATTAAAAGTTAAAACTTTTAAACATTCTCAAAACTACTGAAATGACTTACAGAAACAATGTCACTGATCATAATGTTGCTAAAATATGCACTGTACAAAAGCTACTCTTGTCACACTAATGCCTAAGTTAGTTTAATTTTATCTGAAGTCCATCTGTTTCTAACATAATAATATAAAGTGGAAACTCAAACATTCTGACAAATTATAATCAGATGCAGTAGGTATAATTCCTGATAGTTGAAGACATACAGAGCATTTAATAATTTTCTGACTATGTCCTATGTAAATGTTAAAATAATGCCAGTGGTTATATTTAAGTTTGGTGTTGTGATCTTTACTGTGATCTTTACTGCGATCTTTACCTGTCTTATAAATATAGTGACATATGGGAGTCGGGGCACAGTGGATCAAGGGGCACAGTGAATCAGTGGTATTTTCTACCAAATCACCAGTAAATTTTTGTTGCTGGTGTCATCATAATTGCGCAATTACATCCGCCAACTGTATTCATACAGTTTTGTTATTTCTAACGTCAATTTGAAATTTTACAAGGTAAAGTATGTTTTTTACTATCAAAAGTAAATTTTAGGACCTTCTCTAATTTTATTTCACAGGTTAAATTATTTAGATTTAACGAATTCGAAGTAATTGATTGGCATTATTGACCTAGTAGCATTTATTCAAACAATTTACCAGTCCTATACAGCCAGCCATGTAGCAGAAAATTCAATTTGTTTATTTTTTTTAGTACGGGGCACAGTGGATCATTTAAGCTATTGATTCACTGTGCCCCATTTATGCTCTTTAATAATATTTTAAAATAGTGACATACATATTTTAAACTCAAGTTGGTGGAATATAACTTAAATCAGAAAAAGTTTGAATAGGGCCTAGTTTTTATTAGCAGTGAAGAGTAATATATGACATTATAAAATAAATAGTTATTCTTTAATAGAATGATTGTTTTCTCAATAATTCACTAGTGTTTCTTTTTTTCTCTCCCAGATAAAATGGTTAGAAAGCCATGAAGGAGGCTGTACCACATGTTTTGGAGGAGGGAAAATCTATTAGGACTGTTAGCAAAGACACCAACATTAAACTTTCAAGTCTCCGCAGATATGTCGAAAAAGCCAAGCAATCTGGACTAGACCGTACAGCATTTTCACCAAACTATAAATGCTGCCAAAATTTTGATAATCAATAAGAATCATTGTTAAGTTTCCCAGGCCATAGCTCCCATGTTTTGGAGGAGGGAAAATCTATTAGGACTGTTAGCAAAGACACCAACATTAAATTTTCAAGTCTCCGCAGATATGTCCAAAAGCCCACTGCAATCTGGATTAGATCATACATTGTCCTACTTCGTTTTCACCCAAATATAAATGCAGCCAAAATTATGATAATGACGAAGAGTCATTGTTAAATTGCCCAGGCCATTGCTCCACAGAGGAACGGCTCGAGTTGCTCACCATTTCAAATTTAATGTTGATTTATCAGCATATGGCAATTTTCTATGATGATTTTTTTCCAATTATTGTTTGCTTGTCATTTTATATGTTATAATTGAAATAGTTTGGTGTTACAAATAAATAAATTACTCATTTAAAAATTGTTTGCCTACGTTTTTCAGAGTGATTGAGTCTATGGTTAAAAAAATCAGTAGGTTGTATGACTGTATTTAAGTTTATATAAGGTTCTCATGTGAAAAATAACATTCAGTGCAATAATAGCCTTAAATTCAATACCCTCACTATAATTTAAGTCAATTTTACGTAAGCCACAGATAATGATTCGTTTTCCATATTGATTCACTGTGCCCCAGGTAGTGATTCACTGTGCCCCGATACCGGGGCACAGTGAATGACTTACCCCTGCATACTTTGAAACACTCTGTGAGCAAGAATATTATATTTAGCCACATTTTAAGGATTCCTATCCAAGTCCATTATTTAATACAATCAATGTCCACATGCAACATTAAAATATCTGTGAAAAATTTTTGAATATTAATAAAAATAAGATTTCTGATCCACTGTGCCCCAACTCCCCCCCTACATAATGTAGTGCTAGACTTTAATTCTGACTCATTTAGCAGAATTGGGGATGCTTTCTTCTCTTTCAGACATTCATTGCTGGGTCAAAAATGAGTCTTGATAACTGAGTTTCAATGAAATTAGTCGGATTTGTACCCTCTTGGACTCTGAAATATGTCGGTGAACAACATACCTTGCTGGTAATGAACAGGTCTTCTCTCTTTACAACTCCCATCACAAAAAGCTCTTTAAGAGCATGACCCACAGCACGCTCATTCCTGTAGATGGCAGCACAGTCAATATGTCTGTATCCAGCACGTACAGCAGCTTTAACAGATTCTATAATCTCCTCTTCTCCCTAATTTATGAAAATAAAGATGGATGCATTGATAAGTAGGCCCTATTACCAAAACACAATACTTAACTGTGACAGCGCTTAACTGTAGGGGCCTACTAAACATTAATACTTCCTTATATCAGACAGAAAGTAGCTTCATTTCAATTACTGACTGGGTGAAAAATATAGATACAGGTGTCAGTGGCTAAGCTACAGTAAGTCAAACCTGGCCATATAAAGCAAAAAGTGCCCCCCTCCGCACCCAAATTTCCACGCCACCAACAGGTGTCAGATTATTCATCCCAAGGAACAAAATCATAATGTGGAAAGATTTTAAAAGCTCAAATACAGGCATGACAAGGATAAAAACTGACATTTCAAATTGCCTGTTAAGACAAACGATCTGTGCTGCAAAACAAAGATAAACCATTTTCAGAAAATGCAAAGTCCAGTGGGCGTGGCATAAAAAGAGATTGCGGAAAGTGGAGGGGGCTGACCCATGTGGCCCCTTTTTCTCTAAATGGAGGGCAGCATTTTAAATTTTATCCAAATGTATAGTTATTTCATGGCAGGGTAGCGGCAAAATTCTGGCCCCACACCTGGCGACACTGCAATGCCACAGGCTAAGTCAGTGTCACTGTGACTCATGACTATCACTATGACATGTAATACTATCATCAATGTCTATACTCTCTACCATAACTTTCACACTATCCTTATAGTCTTCTATATTGACTATATATATGATATGAGTAACTCAATTTCTGTCTGACAATGACCAAGTGGACTATGATTACTCTAAACTATACACTCACTATACTTATTACTATGAATAATGACATAATGAAGGCGAAGGTGTCGACCTAAGAGTAGACCTAAGCAAAAAATAAGCCCTGTATTATACTGTATATTTTATAAGCATTTTAAAACTATATAGTATAGATTTTTAAACGTTTTTAGAGCTAATATCAATTTTAAATACAAATTATAAAAGTATAGCCGTGTATAGCATAGCCTAGGCCTAAGCCTAAGCCTAAGTAGGCTTTTTTCCGCTTTAGTAGACCATGTGACATGTGATGATTAATCTGATTATATTTTTCATTGAAAAATATTGTTTTAAAAGTTTAATATCTAACATGGCTTAGACCAACTACATTTTAATTATAAAATTTCGTTATTTATGTTAAATCCATAATAAATGACTATGGCGGGGGTGTACGGCAACTATGGGCTATGGGTGCATGCGGCATGCCGCATGCCGTGTCGTTGACGTGATCAGCTGATAACCGTCAGCGCTGTCACGCAAAGTTAGATACTAGTCTAGACGAGATCTACAGAAATAATCCACAATCATTAGTATAATTACGTACATGCAAGGGAGCACAAGTTCCTAATCCAAGTACTGGAATCCGTCTTCCACTTCCAAGTCGTATGCGTTCAGTTTCCACTAATTTTTTTGCCATATTTTCTGGTTATTTGACCTTCTTTCAAGATACTGAACAGCTGAAGTGACACACTTTACTAGCCTGAAATGCAGACGTGCATCAGAAACTAACCGTGACCTTTCAACTTCGTAGCTAGCAACTTTTGACCCGTGCAAGGTCAGCGTTGAGTCTTTTGATAACGATGTGTTATTCATAAGCATTTGTATATTTCAATAACAGAAACGATAACTTGGTTGGCTAAGCTTTAACTAGTCTTTTTGCCGGCTAGTAATAGTGTTTTTTTTTCTCCCGTTGCATTTAACTTAAGCAAAAGCTGTGTCAAAGCCAATGGCGTGGGGAAAGGGTTACCGGAACTTGGATCGAATGAAATTTCGTCGACGGGAAAATTGATCGAACGGAATTTTGGTCGAATCATTTTTTTTTTCAATTCACACGTTAAAATTTTCTTCAAATTTCTGTTTGAACGCACGATACTATATAGTAAAACAAAATAATGCGTTCAAAAATAAATTTGACGCAAAATTTTAACGTGTGAACTACAAAAAAACAAAAACAAAAAAAAAAACACGATTCGACCAAATTTCCGTTCGATCAAATTTCCGTCGATCAATTTCCGTCCACAAAATTTCTTTCGATCGAATTTCCGTATGCGGTAGGGAAAGGGGTCGCCGAGGGGGCTGTCCACCCTGAGTCAGTCAGTTACTCAGTGAACGCCATTCTTCCTTAATTAATTTAGAGGGGCATTATTTTGAGCCAACTGCAGTGTTAATGGAGAAAAAAAAAAGGGGGGGGGGGGTGGGGGAAGAAAAAATGTGGAACATCCCAGGCGGTACTAATCCTAGCTACGCTGCTGGGCAAAACCTGAATTTTATTGCCATTTAAATTAAATAGGTCTTGATAAGCCTTAGATTTGAAAATCTCCGCCTCACATGAAGCCACAGATACACAGATCGTAAGACAATTGAAGGCTTCGAGGGAGGTTTGAAGAGATTCTATGAAGTGAAGTCCCATTCAGCTATGAATTTCAAAACATCAAATACTGACATTGTGAAATTCAATATCAGCTGTCTTTGGTGTCTTCTAAGACTAGGTATTTATTTTAAAAGTTCATGCTCTGATTACTCATTCACTCATGCAACGAACACTAATAACTCTTCGTCACTTGCTGACTCTTGAGTTGAACAGCCCCCCTCCCCCCCCCCCCACCCAGTTCAGAATGAAAGCTAGCAATGCACACATCTCTCTTCTCTTTTCTTCTCGCAGAGAGAGTCCAGCATCTATTAATTTTATTGTTCTCCTTTCATTCTCTTCTTAAACCTTTGTGTTCTCTCTCTAACGAAATCCCATATGGGTATGATTTTAACAGTACATTTTCAATAGCATGTTCCACAAAGTGAAAGCGATTCTCGTACAGAAACTATCTTAAGCCCTCTAGGTTTGTCACCATTTTCCCGAGTAAAGCCTTTAGTCTGCAGTTTTCTGTGTAAGATTAACACCCTCGAGTAGCTCATCCCAAAGGAAAAAAATAGCAGATAAACGTGAAATCACAGACATCATGCAGAAATGAACGAGCTAGGTAGATATCGCAACTATTATATTTATCCAAGTAATAACTTTAACTTCACAGTACGACTTTGTATTCTATGGTTCGGTGCATTAGAGCAATATGAAATAATTTTTGACAAACTAATTTAGTTCGTCTAAACGAAAAATTGCCTATAAATATACAACTTACCCTCCTACTACTAGCAAGCGAGCATTTGTTAGGAATATAATAATATATTATGTTTTTAGGAAAAGACCATTTACAAAAATAATTAAATTTTTTCTTTTAGACCAGGCCTGCATGCACAGCATACGGCCCGCGGGCGGCATGTGGCCCGCCAGCACACACTTAGCGGCCCATGAAGTAACGAAATGTTCTTTTTTTATTATTATTTTCTTAATATCTGCCCCCCCCCCTTGCCCCATTATCTTTCGGCCTGCACAAGTTGTCCATAAAGTATTACGGCCTGTTTTAGACTAACAGTGGGACGCGTCACTAAACTAACACACAGACACTAATGACCAATTTTTAAAACAACATATTATCAAAATTATAACCAGTTCAGTAAATATTTTTTTAAAATAATTGGCTTAGCTAAATATAATAATTTTAGCATAACTTTTATTTAAGTTTAATTAATTATTAATTTAATTATTAATTTAATTATTAAAAACTGAAATATAAAATTTTAATAAAATAATCTTTTTTTTTTTTTTTGTCTAGGCTTATTCCGAGACTGTCTAATCTAATATATGAAATATATGGATTACAAAAAATATTTTAACGGTTATGGCACCAGTATGGATAAATTTACTTTGCCGGGAGGCGTAATTTTCCATGAAACCGGCAACGTTTTGTCGTCGCTCCCCTCTTTTCTTTTTAGAGCTAAAAATACAATTAACTGCCCCAGTTTGGGAAGTGATAGGAGTGCTCTGCCCGTGGCTGTGTTTATATTTCTATCCGGCATTGTTTTGTGTATGTCATGCGATTAATGCTAAAACTGTTGGAGTACGGTCATAAGGGATATAGAAGGATACATCACTCGTTTACAATGTCAGTTTCGCAGCAGATAAACGAAAATAATGCCAAACAGATCATTGAAACCGTAGACAACTTTCTATTTGATTGCGATGGTACGTAGAATTAGACTGACTGATTGTACTTTTACTACTGAGTTAACTGAGTGTTATAGTATAGTATAAGTATAGTATTGTAGTATAGTTAGTTAGTTCACTGTTTCTGTTAGTTAATGTACTGTACTGTGTAAAAATTACTTGAATTGACATTCATTGAATTTGTTTTGTCATGCTGAGTCACATATAGTCATATTGACAAATTAAAATGAATTAAATGTTTCACTAGGTACTAGGATTTTTTTAAAAATAGCGTATACTTATTACTTATTAAAATTAAATTATTACTACTTTTTACTTTGCTTACCTAAGCCTAAGGCCTAAGCCTTAGCTGTTGAACCAGTTAATCAATTTTACAAGTAAAACTTCAGTAAACCAAAGATTAAAATATAGGTAGCATGTAAGACAAACGTACACAAACATTAGTAATAGTAATAGTAAAAAAGTGTTATGGTAGGTCTACTGTGTAACTGTGTATTTTTTGCAGCTACAAAGTCAAAGCTCAGTTGTGAATCTATGTTGAGAATCCATGACACAGGCAGATATTATAAAAATATAGCATTTGATATCTATAATATAAATGTTTAATTAATTTGCTAGTGCAACTGTCAGGGTTTTTTTCTGTTAAATATGATTTAAGTTTAAGGAAAAGTAAATCATAATTTTTTTTTAAAAATCTTCAGTTAATTCCATTTTTTAAAACAAGTCATTGTCACAGTGAAATATTTTCTTGTCTAACCCATTTCAATAAAATCGCACCCTTGAAATTTTTCACAAGTTATAATCTTCGAACGACAAAATATGGCTGTTATTGAATACAACATTCGTTAACAAGTCAGATCTGTCAGATGATATAAAATTCAGAGGTTTTTTTATCACCTCTCTTTTTTCTACCTGTTGCTATGTTACTAACCTGTCAGTGGATGATAAAGCATGCACATTGATAAAAATTTGATGTAATTGTTTCTGTATATTGCCATCAAACAATATAATGCAACATTTTAAAAACTAATGAAAATGAAACCCGGTAGCCCCCCTTTCTTTGTTGCAGCGAGTAGCAAATGGTCATAGAAAGTTGAGAATCCAAGTATCAAATCCATAGTGTGAATGTCCGTTTATAATAGAATGTATGGTAACACAACATGTCTCATGAAAATTTTTAATTTTTGCCTTGTGTAATCAAAATACGTTTACAAGATTTGAGTGATATTATTTATGAATATAATGGGAAGATATGTTCAAGAGTTTTACAAATCTTATTCCGTTGTTATGAATAAAACATAAACAAATAACTTATTGTTATGAATAATACATATATGAATCATTCATTGTTAGGAGTAAAACATAAACAAATCATTCATTAGTATGAATAAAACATTAAAAAAATAATTCATTGCCTCTGACATCTGATTCAACTAAAAAATAACAACTTCACTTGCAGTTTAATGTTATCAGACATGTCTGGAATATGTCTTTCCATTGTGTTGTTTGCAAAAAATAATATTAATAAACTTTTCCTAAAATTCAGGCTGAAACATTGTTTGCACAATTGAAAAGCTAAATTCTCTTATTGTGGTTTCAGTTTTGGTGATAATGTGAGGATCCTTGTTTTATAGCAGTTATTTGGGCAACCAAGTAACTTGCCTCTTGAGCTCTCTCAGATGTCTTCATTATTTTGTTAAATCATGCAGACTGTGTCTTTATTGATTTTGACAGCTGTTATTCCAGTTTTTGTGACAAATTGATGTCTTTTTAGATAAACTGTCAGCTAATTTTTTTTATTTGGTGTGATCAGTACGTCTGATCTGCTTCTTTGATGTAAAACAAAGACTTGAAAGTCTGCATGCTCATTTTGGGGCGGCACACTACTTGTCATGACACAGTTTGGGAAGCACTGTACCACTGGCTAAATTGTCTAGGTCAGTGTTGAGAGTCTCTCAACGCCTGTCTTTCAAGCCCAAAATTTTGATCTGGGAAAATGTTAACCTCTTGTCCACAATGTTCATAGGAAAATGTTAACCTCTTGTCCACAATGTTCATAGGAAAATATTAACCTCTTGTCCACAATGTTCATAGGAAAATGTTAACCTCTTGTCCACAATGTTTAAGGATTATTTCAAGATGAATTACTGAGCTAAAATTTGTATATGTTGAACCTTAGGGGACCTGAGCAACAGTGGATAAGAACTAACAAAAGCCGATCTCTTCCATTGCTATACATATTCTTAGCTCAGGGGATTGGATGGTAGAATCGGCAAAATCTGAAATGGAATGAGTTAATTTTAAAAACTGGCTCAGAAATTATGATACTAATTACTAATCATTAAAACCTTTTTAGAAGTGTAATCTCTGGCACAAAAGATAAAAGCATTAAAAATGTGTCTAAAAATGTAATGTATAATCTTTAATCTTTGATTGGACAGGTGTCTTGTGGGATGGAAGTGGACCCATAGAGGGCAGCCTGGAAACTATAAAAAAGTTAAAGAGCTTGGTAATGTAACGTTTACCACAATAAGTTTATAGTCATTGTTATCATGCCAAATATGCTTATTGGCTTAAACATTGTTCATAGCATTATTTTTTAGCGATAAATTTTATGGAAAACTTCCTTTACCGTTGCTCTCTGGTAAAATAAAATCCGGTCAAAAGACTTTCTTTTCAACTGTAAACAATTTCAATGACATCTTTTGTTCCATTACATAGTAAAGTTCATTCACTTCAACCTGGTCATTATTTTTTTTTCTTTCAAATTACATGGCCCATGTTTAAAAGATTTATATTCACAGCTTAAGAGCAGTATGTTTCTTCTCTGCAGGGAAAAAAGGTGTATTATGTAACCAACAACAGCTCAAAGTGCCGCGATGATTATGTTGCCAAGTGCAAGGAATATGGTTTCCCAGCAGAAACGGTGAATATTTCCATACTTCAAAACAAGTTTTTTTCTTTTAACTATTAAAGAACAAGCATTTTTTGCTGTTCTGAATTTGAAAAGTTTAATTGAAAAAATAAAATAAACATGCATAAAATTATTAGTTTTTCTTAACCAAACTTCGTGCCGCTACTTAGATGACAATATATTTGTTAATAAGCAGATCCCCTGAGGTTTCGCAGAGGAAAGCCCCCATAAAGTAATATTCCTGTAGGGCCAGTACAGTAAAAAAGAGATTCATTTTTTTTTTAGAGTGCAAACTTTTAAAAATCATTTCGGTGTTAGTAAAAAGATTTTAAAACTATTAAACAGTATTGTGGGTAAAACAGATACTCGCTTCCTGTGTCTAATTGTATATTCGGTAACCCTAAGACTTCGGCGATGTAATATACAAACTTCATTATTCAATGTAAGTACTTGGATACTCTCTTAACACGCCAGTTGAAAAATGAGGACACAATATGTGATCCAATGTTGCAGAAGGCTTTATTAAGACCTCCGCACATTACTCTTTTCTTTGCTTTCTAAAATAAAATCAGTGTACCTGGAGAAAAATTTCTTTTTCAAAAACTCTTACACTTCATCCTCACAGGAAGAAATAGTCTGCACGGCATACATTGCGGCCCAGTATTTAAAGACCATTGGGTATCAAGGGAAGGTCTACCTCATTGGAAAAGAGGAATCACTTGGATATGAGCTGAAAAAAGCTGGGATCAAATATTTTGGAACTGGGGTAAAATAATGTGAAGCTCTCATGTATAAGCTCCTTAAAAAAAAACTTTGGCTGCCAAATATCATCTTATTCTTTAAGTGTCTACAGTAGCGGATGGAAGAAATACATTATTCAGGACAGTAATGATAAAAGTTTCGAATTTAATTAATGAAACAAATATTAATTAAAATTAAAAACAATGCAAAGCTTACTCGCTGGATAAAGAACAGGGGGAAAAAAAAAATGTTGCCTCAAGTACCTTACCTTATAAATGATAGCTTTAATAAATTCAGTGTTGGAGACAACTACATGGTGGCTATACACAGTGATAGATTTGATTCAGAGTGGAGTCAAAGGAGCTAGGAACCATAACAATAACTTTTGCAAAAAGCATTATGAATAAATTGATGCTATTAAAGGGACACCCCAATATATAAACAAAGAGATTCTATGGACGACGTTCAATTTTTTGTGAAACAGAGTAGCTTGCCCGTGGTTGCCGCCTACTTTTACCAAGTTGTGTTGGTTCCAAAATCATGTTTGTTGTTTCTAATAAATTAAGTTAAGTAGGGTTTATCAAAACAGACCAATAATATAGGTTTTAAAATAAAATTTATACTTTACTCTGAAATAATTTCTTTCCTCTCAATTCACGATGACATCATCCGATCCATGTTTACTTAGCCAAACCATCACAACCACAAATGATATGCAAGCAGGAATGATATTAAAGAAACCGCTATGTTCTTTTCTGTCTGAAAATAAATATTTTTTTCCTTCGTGAACATATCCCATACAAGGGTCTACCCAATATTTTACAGTTGTGACATTAATTTTTTTGTCACCTTACATTCCTCCGTAAAGAATTTCAGATAACACTTATTGCTACATTTTGTATACTTTTAGGTTTAAATTTATGGGGAAACACTTATTTGAAATGTATAATGTTTGCATCAAGTAGCAAAAAAAAATTAATATAAGTAATGACTTTGTACCACTAATAAACACAAGAATAATAATTGCAAGTTTTTAACAAAATGATACGTTCAAATCTGAATTTTTGACAATAGTTTAAATATGGAAATAGTTATTTGAATTCTGTAGATTTTTGTAAAAAGTGTCTAGAGCAAACATATAAAAAATTATTTTTTTAAAAGTTGAAATGTAGTATTTTCTATTAATCATTATTAAAGCCCGACCCTCTTGAGGGAAAGTTAAAAGATTGGCTAGCAATGAAATTGGACCCTGAGGTAGTAGATCTTAGTTTGTGAAAAAAATCATTTTTTTTTTTTTTAAAGGTTTTATTTCCATTTTTGAAGTTGTTCTGTTTGCAGTAGTCATGGTCAAATTCAATTAAAAAAAAGATTTGATAATTTTGTTTTCCCATTTCTGAAATGATTATTGTTTTTTAAGTTTAAGATCACTTTTGGGGATTTCAAATGAAATATATAAAATCAGTATTCGCTTTTGAATATTATTATTTTATTATGAAATAAACAATTTTAACAAAATGAGATTAACTGGAAAATTACCTTGTTTTAGTGGTTAGAGAGTTTATTGAAATCTGAAGCCTCTTTGTGGTAAAAATTTATTTTTAATATCATCAAGATGCTTTTAACAAAAAAGGTGTTTCCATTTTCTGCAACACTTTTCACCATGACTTACGTTATATCTCATTTATTCCTCTTTAAATTTTCAACCCATTTTTTATGAGGTTTTTGATCTGATTATTCCCTTTCGGTTATTATTTGAACTTTATATTTGACTTTATTTCTTGTTCCATTTCTTGTTGTTTTTTCACTTTCTGTTTCCCCTTTGATGCATTATTATTAGCCAGATCCTCTAAAGGGGACTAGCTACCAGGAATGGCTTACAGAGATTCAGCTTGACCCAGAGGTAATCCTTTAACAAAATTACATTCACCACCTAAGACTAGGCTCACATTTATATATATATATTATATATGAATAGATGGTTCAAAGATTGCCTGCCGAATGATTACCATTCTTTTTACAGTGTATGGGTTAATTTTGTTCCTTTCTTGCGACATCACCATTTTAAGTTCCCCATATGGAGGCAATGAATGGCCGTGGAACTAATAACTGAAACATTTGCAATTGCGATGATGAATAATTTAGTCGTAATCAAAAGATTAACCATTGAACCACTTGGCACAGGACACCACATACTGCATGGTGCATATGTAAAAAAAATATTTCTTTAATATATTTAAAACCTTTTTAAAACTGATGACATTAAATATTGATAAAAATGAAAAGTGAAATATAATCTTAGGAATGTTCGTTTATATCTAAGGCAATGTTAAATTTTAATTTTAAAAGCAATTCGCTCTGTCAATCCGCCATCATATCTATGTTGAATCCACCTACAAGCTTGAGAAAATGTATGTTTTAAGAGGACTGTCTGTCACATGTATCTTGTTGTTAAATAATTAACAGCAATTATTTAAATATAGAAATACCAGCATAACTCTTCTTACGAAGCTCCTTCGAAATGTCTAGGAAATTAAGGTTGTTGGCCATTGTACTTAGTTATTTATTATTTACCATTGTGAATACCACAGTAATTGTTACATTATGTTAAAAAAATACTCTTCTATAATATATAATGGATGCACTGTCTTATATTTTATGTATGAATTTTAAATATTTACTTGTTTTGGTTGTTATCATAAATGTTCAACCTAATCAGGTCAAGTGTGTGGTGGTAGGTTTCGACCCACATATCAACTACATGAAGATGATGAGAGCGGCCAGCTACCTGACAAATCCTGAGTGCTTGTATGTTGCCACAAACGAAGATGGCTCACTTCCGGTGAAAGAAAAGAACATTTGCATCCCAGGTTAGTGTCATGCTACTGTGGTCTAGAATCTTCCTGCCATCTCTGTTTTGAAAAACGCAACTTCCAGAAATATAAATTAAAGGCACAAGCCTTCATTAGTTCTTTCTGCTGAGGGCGTCCGTTAGCCGAAATGTTCTTCTTTTATCGCCCAGTCGTTCTATTTCAAGCGTCCGCATACCTTGTTCCACGATTACCTTCACACAGCTTGAATGCAGTCCTTCATTCATTTTTCTTTGGTCTAGAAAGTGGGCTCAACAAGTCATTCCAAAATGAACTGATCACTTTATTTGGAAAGTCCATGTATATCAGAGTTTCTCAAACTCTTGTACAATTTGCACCCTGTACGAATTGTCTGAATAAGCCTCACAGCCCCCCAAAAATATAAAAATGCATGTTATGTACACAAGTTGAATTCTTTATAGTGGCTATTCCTTGCACCCTCTGACATGGCATCTTCCACCCCTGGTTTTGAAATCCTGATGAATATAATTTAAAATATTAATAGTTTGAGATGGGGTTTTTTATTATTATTATGTAATGTGCCCCTCCATTACATGTGCAAAATTATAAAAACGGACTCTCAAAATCCAAATATTAGTTTGCCAACTGCTGTAGAATGCATAATGCCGGCAGCATAGATTACACGGTTTGTGTACCTCATTCTGCAGGCACCGGTTGCATGGTTTTGCCCGTCACAGTTGCAGCCAACAGAAATCCAACCCTAATGGGAAAGCCGGAGACGAACATGTTTGATGTTCTGCAGAAGGTCCACAATCTTGACCCGTCAAAGTGCATGATGACAGGAGACAGGTGAGGTTATGGACTTGACTATATTTAAAAAAAGAAAAGATGAGTGCTATAGAGAGCTTGTTTACATCATATTTCTCGTGCGTGCCCTCTGATTGACCCCGCATGAGACGCTGTGTTCACAAAGGGGTGTGGCTTAGGCCTTTGAAGTATTCTTGTTTACACCGCCAAACTACTAAAAATAATTAATCTGTTCCAAGTAGTGTTTTGTAGAATCATTCTGATGGTTCTAGAGATGTCATGTAGCTTGTCGAAGGCAGGGCTTAGGCGTCGGTAGACCCACCTATATAAGGGATTGACAGGCACGGACGAGAACAGAACAGACGGAGATTTTCATATAGATTCTCTTAACATTACGAGGCGTGTTTTATTCTTTGTGTATTTGTGTGCTCCTACTTATATGTGTTTATTTCGCATTATTTTTGGCATCATTATTTCTAATTGTATTAACTGTGTACCGGTACGAGATCTACCATACTGTAAGTTGAAGATTGTAATTTTATTTTATTTTATTTTGTAATTATCTTAAGACATAATAAATCTTAATTAATTGTAACTAGAAACTTTTTTGGGTCGTATCTTTAATATTGTTGATTCTATGGTATCGTCCTTTGTTAGGCACTGCTTACAACGAGCCAAATTAAAATTAAAGTAGGAGATTAATTTCTCCCAATACAAGTCAGTGCGTCACAATGAGGCTGATTGATGTCATACATTTCTAACTACACAGCTAACGTTTGTTTGAGTGAAATTTCAGTTTTAACCATTGTCTATTTGCAATGTGTCCAGCCACAGACCCTCTTAACCACTGGCATACTCTCCAGTCACTGAATTATGACATTTCTCTTTCAAGTCGAACCAAAACAATTTTAAGAAGTATCTATTTGTTTGAGGGGATTGTCATCACATCTATCAGCCATAGGATTTTATGTTAAAATAATTTTAATTAAAACTTTATGTTACATTGAAGTAAGGCCTTAATAGTTTATTTCATGAAATAAAGAATCATGTATTCTTTTTAAAAAAAAATATGAATAGAAAGAATTGTATACATGAAATATATTTTTCTCCAATTTAATTTCTTAAAATAAATTTTCTCTAGAATAAACACTGACATTATGTTTGCCAAGAAATGTGGCATCCGCTCCTTGCTTGTGCTATCAGGCATATCAACAGAGGATGAGCTGATCACACCATCTGGAAAAGGCTCGATGGCAGATGATCAAAAGCAGCCAGATTTTTATGCCCCTTGTCTAGCAGATTTGGGCAAATTTATATGATAGTGTTGACAATTAGGTAGCACGGTTTAGCAAATTGAATTAGAAATTTTTAAAAACTTTCATTTAATTTATAATCATATGATGATGCAGCTGTATAAACTTACATAGTAATTTTTATTCTATGTTTAGCTAAGTGAGGTCTATTTGTAGTTTGCTAATGTTTAATTGTAATTTGAATATAAATAATAAGCTTTGATTTAAATTAGACTCCTGTCCATCAATAAAACTGATGAAATTGTTTTAAGAATTTGATTGACGCATCAGACTTTTGATGTTTTCCATAGCACCAGTGTCATCACTGCTCTCTAGCTGTTATTTAATGAGTTTAAGAATTACTGCGAGTTTCAGAAATTAGTATATATTCTTTTTAGATAGTGCTGCACATTTTATTTACATTTCATCATAACCTCGCCCTGTGCTATTTTGATATACATATTTATTACAGTGTTTATTTATTGGCAAACTGTTTTTTAAGTGCAAGCCTGTTAACTGTGATCATCAGAAACAGCCTGGTGATATGTTGGAAAAGTTTGCACCAACTATTTCAGTAAGGGTCATGTAGTTCAATGAAAATTGTGGTTGGCCTCAATTAAAATAAATTTGAACTGTCACAGTTAATCAGCTTTATTACTCAGTATTAATGAGAAATTAATGTTAACAATGCGAATAAATGAAGTAATAACATTGCAAGTATGCTAAAAGATCTGCAATTGGAATGGAAAAAAAAAAATATCTTGCCATTTGGTTTTGAATGAAATATCTTCATTATATTTATATTGTGTGTCTTTTAACAAATTTATCTATAAAAAAATGGCTTATAATTAATTTCAGAAAAATGGGTCGTGCTATTTTTGAAAACCATGCGATGAAATTATGTCAATTATTTTGTCCGCAAGCATTTTTAAAATACATTTTTTCCAAATAATCCAATCCAACTATTTTTAACAAGGCGTTTTTTTTAGAATTTTGCTAACTGTAGTCACATTTTAAATCTTTGAAATACATTTTTGTGAACCCTTGAAAACATTTAAGATTTTAGTTTATTCCGAAGAGACGAATTGTGTTTATTTACCTGCCTGTTGGCTGTCACTTCACACTCATTGTTCAGAAATGAAATATGAATGGCTCTTTGAGCTGTATGATTCAAACGTATTGTTGAGTTCTAAAAATGATTCAGCTGTAAAAATCTTTAAGCAATGTAGCTCAAAGCTCATGGTCTTACTTTATTTATTTTAATTTATTCAATTTTTTTTTTTACATATATTAAAGATCAAAACAAACATTACATTTAAATTTCAGTTTCAAATGTTTACAACAAAATAATTTTCTCTCCATCTCCATAATTTCTTCTTTCTTTTTTTTTTTTGAGGATTTAAACACTTAAGACAGATTGCAGAGTTGAGAAAATCAAGTCAGCTTTGGGAGGATAGAGGTGGTTGGGGGGGGGGGCAGTTTTGCATCTCCAGGCTTGTGTAGTTAAGCTTCTGGAATAATTGTACATGTGGAAACTACCGTAGCTGGGAGATAATGCAATGATCCAACCTGCTTATATTTGTCCTTATTCTACTTGGTTTAGAAGGATGATGATTATTCCACAAAATAAATTCATTCACAATAAAGATCCAAACATTTTTTATTTTTTATTTTTACTAGCTTAATTTGAATTGCAATTGAAAAGAATAGTGACCTATGTCTGTACAAGCATCGGAAAAAAGGTTGTTGAAGCTTTACATCAAGTCAACAGAATTTTACATCTTGAAATTTAAACACATAAATTATTTTGTCACTATTTGTGTCATTTAACCAATAACTTCCCATTGGCTTGACCACAAAACATTTATATTATCCCAACGTAAGGGGAATAACTCTAAACTACAAATTTAGTTCTTTTACAAAAATAAACGCATCTCGCTAATTTAAAATCCAATTGATGTGAAAAAAATTGCATTATGTAGAGAAATGAATAATCTATCAGATGACACCAAATATGTAGGGGTGTACTAAAAATTTACATACAAAAAAAAATTAAAATGTTAGAAAATATGCAAAAAATTCAATTTGTCACGACAATTTCTGTACATTTATTGATAAATAAATACCTTAGTTTAACTTAGCATGGAACTGAGCAAAACATAGCTCATCACAAAGGTGTGTGTTACACAACACACACCCAAAAACAGTTTCAGGTCTTTTATTCGATTCAGTGCGAACGTTTTTCTGCCGACACTGAAAACATTGTTTTTTGCGCCCTGGGAGTCGAATTCTACGATGCTCCAAAGAAGTTCCAGGAACAGCCAATCCACCAACAGCAGGGACCTCCGCCTGTCTTCTTTTCCTTGAAGAACCCTTCATGAGGCTGCGAGCAATGTCCAAATGGAAATTTAAATGCGACACTGGCTTTGATGTCGGGGGATGTGGCATATTTTTGTATAAAATATACGCATTCAGGGCTGCCGTCTCAACCAAAAACCACAAACAACATCTCCACCATTTGTGGCTTTTTCGGCCAATAGGATAATATGATCTTAGCTGATCATGTCTGTCCACCCCACCCATATTAGCATTGTAGATAAGTACAGACTGGGGGATCTGTTTATCAATAGGGCCGTCTTTTGTACGGCGTGATGCAGTGCCTAATGTAGGCGACGCGTTGGTTGAAATCATGGAGATGGCACGTTTGTCTCTCCACCAACATGCAACCAGACTCCCTATCATGCACTCTTCATCATTCAATCATCATGTGACATGTTTCTATTTATAGAAGTTTCATCAACCAAAAACATCTTAAAAAAATAAATGCACAGATTAGCAATGAGGAAAAATAAACTGTTGTTTTCAAATATGCTTTAAGTTTTAAGTTATTTGAAAAATAATTTTTTACATTTTATTGTGATAAAAAGTTTTAAATCTGATAACTTTCGTGGAATTTTTTTAAATTGTGTGATAACTTTTTTGGAAATTTTGTTGAAAATTTTAAAAAATTACTATTGGGCTAACCAATGATTGTGATTTTGCCATCCACCGACATTTCTTAACCAGCGTTTGTGCCGTCCGCCAACAAGATTTTCCTTCCCAATGATTGTGCCCCCTGCCGACAGAATTTTCCGAACCAATGCTTGTTTATTCGACATTTTGTTTCCAAAGGTTTGTTCAACAATTATGGTGTCATTTTTTTTTCTTTCTGGCAATTGTCTGTCACAATGTGTAGACTTCGCAGGAAGAAATCACAAGGTCTGGGATTTTTTCTTTTAGGAGGGTGAGCTGGTACCCTAGGCAGCAAATCGCCTCTCCCCAGGCACCTGGATGACCCAAGGGAGCATCATACGTGGATGACACGGCTGGGCACCAGTGGCGTTGCAGAGGTTGCCGGAATATTCTTTGTGTCAAATGTTATCTGCATAGGGACTCCATCTCCGGGTTTGATTTCAGAGTTTGCCTTCTCTTAAATGAGTTGCCATCCAAGGTTAACACATCCCATGCACCCAGGGTGTTGGGGGGGGGTGTTATTGCTGGTGGGGGGGGCTTTGGTGGATGAACTCCTTGAACACCAGGTTTTTGGAATGTCTTAGTTTAGTTTAGTTTGTCTTAATACGGTCCACCAGCAATCTGCATAGGGACTCCATCTCCGGGGTTGATTTCAGAGTTTGCCTTCTCTTAAATGAGTTGCCATCCAAGGTTAACACATCCCATGCACCCAGGGGGTTGGGGGGGGGTGTTATTGCTGGCGGGGGGGGCTTTGGTGGGGATGAACTCCTTGAACACCAGGTTTTTGGAATGTCTTAGTTTAGTTTAGTTTGTCTTAATACGGTCCACCAGCACCTACATTTTAATCAATTTTAAAACTAAAATATATTAAACAATTTTTTAGATACCCATCATTTTCATATTAGACTCACATAAATTAATTGATTGTGTGTGGGGGAGTTTGGTCTTGGAGATTTACTCATAAGAAGATTGGAGTTTAACACAGCTTATTATAAAATTGAGTTGTTTTGGGGTAGTTTTTTTGCAACCATTACTGTATTAATCTGGAACCATGAACTTAACCAGTTAACTTTATTGATTGCAAGGAAAATTAGAAGAGTTTTTCTTTATAACAAAATGTTGTCAGGACTTAAGCATACCATGATGTCACGATATGTGTGTTTGATGATGTCAGGATATACGTGTACGATGATGTCAGGATATATATGTATGATGATGTCAGGATAAAGGTGTATGATGATGCCAGGATCTATGTGTACGATGATGTCAGGATATATGTGTATGATGATGCCAGGATATATGTGTACGATGATGCCAGGATATATGTGTTTGATGATGCCAGGATATGTGTGTACGATGATGTCAGAATATATGTGTATGATGATGTCAGGATATATGTGTATGATGATGCCAGGATATATGTGTACAATGATGTCAGGATATATGTGTATGATGATGTGAGAATATATGCATACGACAATGGGGGGTAAGGGGGGGGGGTAAGTTTTAAATAGTTTCTCAGTTAAGTAGTTCTTCAGGGACCAGGAATTTTTGCTAAGTAGCATACTACTGCTACATGCTACTGCTACATACTACTGCTACATACTACTATTATTGCTACATACTACTGTTATTGCTACATACTACTGTTATTGCTACATACTACTGCTAGAGATGGCCCTACCATCAAATGTTGCTAGTTATAACCGTGGATATGTCACTTATCTGAGAATTTTAAAAAGTTGCTATTGGGGTAACCAATGGTTGTGATTTTGCCATCCACCGACATTTCCCTAACCAGTGATTGTGCCATCTGCCAACAACATTTTCCTGACAGATGATTGTGCCATCTGCCGACAAAATTGTCCTGAACAGTGATTGTGCTATCCACCAAAAACTTATTCCTAACCAGCGACCGCGCTCTTTGCCGACAACATTTCCCTAACCAGTGATTGTGTGATCCACCGACAGTATTTTCCTAACCAGTGATTGTGCCATCCATCAACAAAATTTTCCTAATCAGTGCATGTGATTGTGCCATCCACCAACAATAAATTCCAAACCAGTGTTTGTGCTATTTGCTGACAATATTTTCCTAACCAGTGATTGTGCCATTCACCAACAACCCATTCCTAACCAGTGATTGTGCCATCCACCAACAACCCATTCCTAACCAATGATTGTGCCATCCACCAACAACCAATTCCTAACCAGTGCTTGTGCCATTTGCCGACAATATTTCCCTAACCAATGATTGTGATTATGTCATCCACTGACAGCATCTTCCTAACCAATGATTGTGATTGTGCCATCCACTGACAGCATCTTCCCAACCAATGATTGTGATTGAACCATGTTTCACAGCATTTTCCTAACCAGTGATTCTGCCTACCGCCGACATCAAAGCAAGTCTGTGATTCCTTGAGTTACCAGAGTCTTTACTGCAGTAAATTAAATGTTTTTTGAAGCCAAGCTTTTAGTTATTTCTATTCCAGAGGCTCTGTTAAGAACAGTGGAGATCTTGATTCCAGAGGCTCTGTTAAGAACAGTGGAGATCTTGATTCCAGAGGCTCTGTTAAGAACAGTGGAGATCTTGATTCCAGAGGCTCTGTTAAGAACAGTGGAGATCTTGATTCCAGAGGCTCTGTTAAGAACAGTGGAGATCTTGCGTCCTTGGACTTCAAAATGCAAGGAATGGTTTTGTTTTTACGGTTACAAGAATGTACAATGCTGTCAAGATTTCGACAAGGCACGAGTTATTCTAACAGGGGTGACCCCGAAGACATCACAAGCGTTCCATTGCTGTAGGTGCGTCGGTTCCAGGTGCAATGGTCGTTAACGAAGTGTCCCAGTCCCGGAATTCTACCGTCGGTAGTTGACGGAGTACTGAGTGTAAAAGCTGTTTAAAAATGTGCATCAGTCCTGAGTGCCATAGTTATTAACAGAGGTGCATGGGTACTGAGTGCCAAGGTTGTTCACAGAAGTGTGTTGGTAAAGTTTTTAAAAGAGTTTTTTTTCGATACTGATTGCCATAGTTGCTAACAAATGTGCATCGGTCCTGAGACACACTTGAGTGCAACAGTTGTTGACAAAGTTGTGTCTGTACTGAGTGTCATGGTTGTTATAACATATGTGTCAGTACTGAGTGCCATAGTTGTTGACAAAGGTGCGTCTGTACTGAGTGCCATGGTTGGTATAACATATGTGTCAGTACTGAGTGCTGTAGTTGTTTACAACGGTCCGTCACTACTGGGTGTCAGATCCGTTAACAAATGTGCATCAGTACAGA